TTCAAAGATTATCTAAGCAAACAAAGCCAACTGTAGAGTACAAGTCTTCAACACCATTAAGGGGGGGGGAGTACAGTTCTAGAAAGATGTGGGTGACAGAAGAGGAAAGAGCCTTCTGATGACAAGGCCTTACTGTCAATCGTTTCTACAGGAAACTAACGTAGTCACTGAGAGGTATCTGCTGAAAACCACCGGAAAAGAGGGAGCAGTGGAGCAGAGACGGCTGGAAGACAAATGGTCATGGGAAGTACCCAGAGAGATGGGAAGGTGGCCTGAATTATAGGATCGCTTCCCCAGCTCACGGCAAGTGGCCCCAAACTTCCTGTTACACACACAAAGTCATCTGACAACAGACAGTCCTCCAGTCAAGCCAGCGTCGACGGCACTGGATCAACCGTTCTTGCATCCTCACCCACTCCTTACTGGCAAGGAGCACCTAAGAGAGTACTTCCGATCACGTAACTGCTAACTGCAGCCTTGGAAGGAAGTGAAACTTCGTGACTGCCAGAGGAGCTGAGGTTTCCTGCCCTGCTGAATTAAAACAAGATTCTGCAAACGTCCTGGCAGCTGTGGGTTCTCAGATGCCAGACACATGCAGGCAGTGTTATCCTGATGCCTCATGCTGAGCAAAGTAAGTCGGACACGGAAAACCGAGGACGTCCTGGCTGGGGTTGGTAAACATTTGAGGGGTAGGCTATGAGGGCCATTTACCATCTCTGCCATGTAACTAAAAGGTCACTTTTGATGAAAGAGACTAAATTGCTGCATTGTCTTTTTTAAACAAAAACAGGAAGCTGGCAGGCTTTGTCCCTAGGTCATAGGTGCAGACCTGAGTATACAGGAAAAAGCAACATCCAGCAGAGCGGTGCCCAGCCCGTTATGCCTTGGTCACAAATTCTCCCATGCCTTGAGTTGGGATTATTACTTGTTACGACATAAGGAGATAGAGACTATAAGATATTTTGTAAACATGTAGGTCCCATTCAAACAATTGGGCCCAGAGGATTGTTTCTCCAGCCTCAGGAAATGCTTCCCTCAGCTGCCATTAGAGATGTGGGGGTCTTAGAAAAGCCCATGTCTTAGTGGCCAATGTCCTTTCTGCTGCTCCACACTAGAGGAGAGAACCCAGTCACTTCTGAGCTTCTCTCTCTCTCTCTCTCTCTCTCTCTCTCTCTCTCTCTCTCTCTCTCTCTCTCTCTCTCTTCAAGACAGGGTTTCTTTGTGTAGCTTTGGAGCCTATACTGGAACTTGCTATTTAAACCAGGCTGGCCTCGAACTCACAGAGATTCGCCACCACCACCCGGCCCGAGCTTCTGTTTCTTAATTACATAGAATGAATCTCTTCACCAAGCTCAAGAGAGTCTTGTCAGGTATGATGGCTCACATCTGTGATCTCAGCACTCAGGAAATAGAAATGAGAGGACTGCCATGAGTCTAAGACCAACCTGGGCCATAGAGAGCCTTTGTCAAAAATAAAACAGAACACCTGAAAACACTGAGTGGCTTTTAAAGGTACTGATAAGGATTGCTGGAAAATCCTGCCTTTGGACAAAAGGGGCCGCAGCACTTGTCTTTGCTTTGGGGTTTATTTTGTCCCGTTGTTTTTCTAGGAGAAAGACAAAGATACAAAAGTAATGCTTAGTTGCAGAACTACTTCTTGTACAAGGCTATGACAGATGGTTTTGAGCCTCAAAGGTCATCATCAGTCAGGAGCTGCTTATGACTTGTTACCATGATGGTTTATGTGGAGAAAGACTTCTTCCAGGAGGCAATCTAACAGCAAACTCATCTCTCACTTAGCAACCTCGAAATCTGCAAGCCGCTCTTTATTCTGAGAACTAACCACCTGGGTGGACAAGAGAAAGAAAGAGGCGGCCTGTTCTGAGAGGCATTTTGCTCAAATTTGGTTGTCTCAAAATTTGCCTTTGAAAGACAGGAAGAAATAAATACACACAGGCTGAGAACAGGCAAGTGACAGCTTTTAAAATTATTTTGCAGCAAACAACAACAACAGAATGCTTCCCAGGCTATTTGAAGCAGGGCTCTAAACTGACAGCATGGATAGAACATAATGAATCCTTCAAAATCAAGTAAAGTCAACTAGCTGAGTCTCGACTGTTACTTTATGCGGACTATTTCACTCAGGAGTTTTCTATTTAAGAACATGTACAAGCAAGGGTAGCCCTTGTTTTTGCACCAATAGGCTTTACACAGCCTTTGGGGGAGGGCTTGTGGCTACTGTCTTCAGATTTGCTATTTTCTCAGTTGCCTCTGCCGGAACTATAACAGGGGAGGCATGGCCGTCACCTGCAGGAGCACTATGACAGAGAATTCCTTTCAAGTGTGCAAATGCCTTCCCCACCCGCAGTGGGTTGAGTGTTCCTACTGTCTTTCCTGCAGACAAACTAATAAGCCCAAAGACTGCTTCTGGAACTGCACACCCTGCAAACAAAGGCTTGTCTGTCAGCTAGGAGTGACCCCTGCTTCACCACTGGCTCTCCGTGCCAAGGTCTGGGCCCAGCACTCTAACTATGCTGAACTAAAATGATGACCTGGCCCTCCGTGGAAGGAGGAGATGATATCTGATCCACCTGTGGGGACCATCCCAGAGCATGGGCTGTGGTAACATTCAAATGAGCTCATGCATTGACTCCTAATCAAAGTAGAAGGCCATGAACTTCATTTCTCACGGCCAAGACAACAGGCAGACTTTTGAGCCAGCCCAGACAGACACAGGATGGAGGAGAATGAAGGAAGTCACCAGATAGAGTTACCGTCATCTGCAGAAGCTGTCAAACGGGGAGACTCAAAACGGGCACTGTCCTCCTTAGGGGATGGGGAAGTGGCCACAGTCTGGGGGTTTTTGAGCAGAGATTTATGCTGAGGATGAACCTTTCGCTCTTCTGTAACCAGGGAGAGGGCACCATTCTTGCCCCCGGAGCCAGGAGCAGTGGTGCTGCAGAGGGCGCCAGCGGTATTCTCAGACAATGGCGTTTCAGTGAGGGAGTCCCCGTGGGACAGCAGTGAAAGGCCCACGGGAGAGAGAGAGTCCACCACCAAGTGTTTCCCACTGTTCTGCACTGTTGGTCTCTGGGGGCGTAAGTCTTGTAGCGGCTGCTCCACACACGGTGGGTTGATCCAGGAGGCTTTGTGCCTCCTGAGCCTCATGTCTAATTGGCAAGGAGGGTGGTCAGTGTCCAGGAGCCTAGGCAGACTGTCAGTGGCCTCAAAGGCACAGCTGGTTCCTTCACAGGGATCCACAGGAGAATCTTGCTGGCCTGTGGACAGGGACACCATCCTTCCAGGTGTGGAGTGAACGGGCTCAAAACATAGCTCTCCAGTGGCTGCTGTGCCATCTGGCATGGTCCTTAAATTCATCACATGGTCAGCTGGAGGTCTGAAGAGTTTATCTGCAATGAACAAGAATCATTCCAGATAAATGAGAGTCCAGTTGTATTTTTGGTTATATATTATTGTCAATAAGCAAAAAAAAATATCATTTTCCTTTATAGCTCACATTAACTTCTCCTTGTATTTTTAAGCCAAAAATAAATGACTAAACCAGACAAACAAAAACAAACAAATAACAAAAAAACAGCGGTAAGCCTAGAGAGTTTGATGTGGGGATAAGAAACCTTTTTTCAAGTGTGAACTTAATTGAAGAAGATACAAAGACCAACTAATAATGCAAAATAGCAATATACCAAAGGTATTACGATAAAATTACCATCAAATCAAAAATGGGAATGCCACATAAAAGTAAAGACACTTTTATACCACTTTATTTGGAGTTCATTCTAGCCTTACAGCAAAGTAAGGAAGCATTCAAATGAAAAAGGACAACCACTAAGACCCTGGTGCCTTGCGGCTTGCATCAACTTGAATATTTGTGACATCTGTAGAAATTCAGTATTAGTTTCTAATATTTTTAAATGATGCGTGATTCTAGAATCCATCTTTAAAATGGTTCTGAGTTTGGCTGTAGTGAATGTGATGATGGTTAAATGTTGATCTGCACAGCGAGAAGATCTCCCCAGGCTCAGCAAACATTTCTTTTTCCTGTCCACCTTTAAGAGCAAGGTAGGAGAAAGTCCATCCAGGTCAGCCTTCACACAGACGCGGTCCATCTGGGCAAGTTCAGCTCAAATGAAGAGTGCCACAGTGCTTGGGATTAGCTTTATGTTTTTGTGTCCAAATACCGGAGAGAAAAGCAGCTTAAGGATTTACTCGGTTCAGGTCTTCAGAAGGTCCAGTCCTTGGTCACAGAACTCATGTTACTGGGTGTGGTGACCCAGTATATCACGGCTGTGGGAGTGTGTGGTAAAGTCAGAAACAAGAAGGGGCCTGACTAAGACATGCCCTTCACAGCATACCTTCAATGTCTTGCTTCTTCCAACCGCCCCCACCTTCCCATAGTCTACTCAAATTCTTAATCCATCAGGGGATTAACCCATGGATTAGGTCAGAACTGAATCCTCTCTGAAGACTCTGTCACAGACACACTGGAGGTTTGTCCTGCTCAATCCAGTCGACAGGCAAGACTATCACATAAGAGTGTGACTGAATGTGAGGTTTAGAGTTGATTCCAGAGTGTTAGACATCACCATGCTGTGTGGAGCTCACTCTCACATGCACATTGCTATTTCACATTCCCTCAACTCCAGGCAAGTTTATCGTGTTACCTACTTGACATTTTCCCAGTGACCTCCACTTAATATGCCCAAATCAGACTCTAAAGCCCCCCTGTCCCGAATCTGTTCCTCTCCTACTTTCCCTGTCCCGGGAAGTACATTTCCCAGTCACCTGAGCCTAAGATTTAGGAGCCATGTGTGACTCTATGCTGTCCTAACTCTCCATTTTTAATCACTCAGCAAATTTAGAGCCAGCGTGTTCGTCTAAGCCACTGTCTTCTCCCACATGGACACCCACCTATGACTTCAGAGTGGAGAGTGGCTCCCCTCCTTCTGCCCTTATCCACAACTCCAGGCATGCAGAGAGACCCTTTATAGACCTAAACTGCATCTCATTCCCCCAATCAAACCCTAACAGCTTCCCATCAAATCAAGAGTAAAATCCACACTCCTTACCTTGTCCTTAAGGCTTGACATAGGCTCTGTCCCTGAAGACCTCTCATTTATCTTTTTCTCAGCCTCTGTTAGCCCCAACAACACAAGAAGCTCTTGGACCCTGAATTTTCACCTCCCTAAGGGTGCAGTTCACCTTCTGCTTGAAAGTCTCTTCCTCCAAGTGAATGCAGCCTGGCTCTCTCATGTCATGCATGCCTTCGTTTTGAATTACTTCCTCAAGGAAGTCTTTCCTAACTAAAGGCAGTTCCCTGGTCTCCCCCTACTCTGTCACTCCATTCAGTTTTGTCACAGAAACATCACTTCCTGATTCTTTTCCAGCTCCTTCCCATGAATCTTCCTCTGCCCCCAACTATAAGCTTCATGACAGCAAGGGCTTTGTTTGTTCTCGGCCACATCATATCCCCCGTGTCTTCAGTTGCATGTAAGAGCTTAATAAATGCTTATGGAATAGATAAATATAGCCAGCAAATTGTAAATAAAGTCCAGATAAACGCCTTCTTTGGTAGATATGGTTGATCAATTACTGGGACATAATTACTTTAACAAGAATAGAAATGAACACATGCCTCCTAAAGATATGAAACTCTTCTTGCTCATCATGGACATTGACAAGATACAAATTCAAATGCACCAAAAGAAACTACATATGAAAGTTTTTCTTAAAAGTCTTTAGATTTCCTTGATTTGAAAGCCCTGTATTCTAGGTTATGTATTTTGGAGTAATGCGGATGAAGGATACATTGTGTGTATGTATGTATATGTGTGCACACATGCACGCTCACGTGCCTATATCTGCCTGTGTAGATCTCCTGAAAAATTTGCAGGAGTCCCAAACCACCATTGAGAGACTGTCACAGGATAAAAGCACACATGATAACTGCCAGAGCTTACCCCCTCCAAAGTGTCGTCCCATCTTCCTTTTTCTTACCTCGAACCCCACCCTGTGTTCCAGTGTCTCTTTGTCACACACCTTTCTTGCTCAGTAACTTTGGATTTTACAAAAGGAAACAATAACTAGGTTTCTATAAAGGCCCTAAACATAGAACCCCAGAATAAAGAGTGAAGAGTTCCTGTCACTCAATGCTCCATGAACCCTTCTTCCATCCCACAGATGACTGCTGGCTATTCCGTTCCTCCCATGCCCTTTGCAATGGATGATCCCACCCAGGTCAGATCCAAAGATTTGTTTTGTGTCCTTTCTCAAGCACATACATTGGATCTGTCTTAATTATTGCTCCATTGCTGTGAAGAGACACCATGATCAAGGCAACTCTTATCAAAGAAATCATTTAACTGGGGTCCTGTTTATAGTTCCAGAGGGTGAGTCCATGATCATCATGGCGGGAAGCAGACAGGCATGGTGCTAAAGCAGCAGCTGAGAGCTTTCTATCGTGATCCAAAAGACAGTATGCAGGGGGTGGGGGCTGAGATTGGGCCTGGTGTGGGGTTTTAAAACTCAAAGCCCACTCCCAGTGACACACCTCCTCCAATAAGGCCACACCTCCTAATCCTTCTCAAACAGTTCACCAACTGAGGACCAAGCATTCAAAGACAGGAGCCTCTGGGGGCCGTTCTCATTCAAACCACCACAGTTTCTTAGTGGGCATGCTCCATAATTTATCTTATTCTCTTTCAACAGTGTAACTTATAGGTTATTTCACATACTTCTTAACTTCTTTTTTAATTTTATATCTTTTTTTTTGTGTGTGTGTATGAATGTTTTGTCTGCACGTGTGTCTGTTTACCATGTGTACGTCTGGTCCCTGTGGAGGTCAGAAGAGGGCATCAGGTCCCCTGGAACAGGAGTTACAGGCGGCTGTGTTCCACTGTATGGGAGCTGGGAACTGAACCTCTGCCCTCTGTAAGAGCAGCCAGTGCTCTGACCTGCTGAGCCATCTCTCCAGCCCCCTGTCTTAACTTCTTATCACTTCTTACAGTGTACATGTGCTCAGTTTACATTGCTAGACATGACAGATAAATATTTATTTCCAGCTTTTTATTACTATGCAATATACATCAGTGAGCAACTTTGTGCATAAGATTTTTGCCGGCTCCCCTTTACTTCTCCGTGTCTCTTACTAGCTCCAATCTTACTTTGAGTCACATTCAAAATGGCCCCATTATTCCCTAGAGGATAGAGCTATGTAAGTAGGTCATGATTTCCTCCCTTAATTCCCTTATATTTTTGGTTGTGAGCCTAGCCTTTAACGGCTGAGCCATCTCTCCAGCCCCCTCCCTTAATTCTCTATACATTATATTTGTTTATGTAATTAGGGAAGAGATGATTATGGAAGTGAAAAATACGTGGAAATGAACAGTTTCCAATGGTAAAGCTACCCAATCGTTTGTTGTTTGTTTAATTTCAACCAGGGTCTCACTAAGTAAGCCCAACATTGACCTTGAACTTCTGATACTCCTTCCTCGACCTCCCCAGAACTGGGATTACAGGTGTGTGCACCATCACCAACTCATAGTGTGTTCTATAAGCAGATACAAGTTGGAAGTTAAGCCTTACTTGCAAGGAGTCTGTACAGAGAAATGACTCTGATTCACTGAGCAAAACCAGACTTCCTCTCCAGAGATGTTTGGAACCAGTGCTTGCTTTACATGTTTCACTTCACACAAATGGCCCGTGAGTGCTGCCTTTCCTGGGTTAGATCATAACAGAACTGAGAAGACCCACAGAACCTCACTATACCTAAAGTCACAGGCAAGCAGCAGAAAAGCAAAAAGCCGACCAGACACTCACAAGAGGGGAGCAGCCTCTGTGAAATGGAAGACTGGGACAGACAGGAAGTGATGCACATACAAACATGGAAGAAACCTAAATGGAATCACCAAATAACTGGGGGGACAAAGCCCCCACCTAATCATCTCCCACCACCAGGTGAAACCTCCAGGGCCTGGTGTGGGTGACATCTAAATGAGTTGTTGGCCAAAGGAGCCCCATGGAAACCCTCAAACAACCCAGGCTGTTGCCAAGGCTGTTGGTTGTTCTCCACAAACTGAGAGTAAGGCATACTGCTGTAGACAGCATCCATATAACTCATTGAACACAGAGAAGTCGAGCTGATGCCTACCTACAGCCTTCAGCCCTACTGTCCAGCGTTGGAGGTACTGGAAGGCACTCTGCACTAGAAAGGTAAGCACCAACCCAGCTGCATACCCTGTGATCTACTTATGTAGGCTTAAACACACACA